GCTTTTGGTTTTAATACTCTGCCAGTTCCCTGTCTTTCAACAGATGTGCAGGCATGGCAGGGTGCAGCAGCACTTTAAGAACTGCCCTGTGCTGTTTGGCAAGCGAGGAATGGCACAGCCTAATGCCAGGGCACCTCCAGCTATGCCAGCTCTGTATGCCTTCAAGCCAACATTCTCTTTGCTTGTGCAACACCCAGCACCTCTCCCTCAGGCTCCAGCACAACCTTCTACGTCCACAGACAGACTTACACCCAGTGATCTACACACCAGAATCGAACTCCACCAAGATGTTGTCAGACTTCAGGTCTCTGTGTGCTATCCTGTGTCGAACGAGATGGTCCACGCCTTCCAGCAACTGCAAAATCATCATGCTGGACAGACGGGTATCCGGGCTGCTGTCCCTCAGGTACTGGCGCAGGGTGCACGGATAGCTAGTGAGAACATGGAAGGTACCTGGATTAGCATCCCAGGAGCTCTTCCCTTCCCATCCCACCTCAGTGCTGCCTGGCTGGGGTTACACTGCACTCAGAAGTGACAAATTCTTACTGAACTTTGCCACACCTTTCCATATTTGAGTCACCAGCACGGTGAGGGTCTCCAGGTACAGCTTGTTACAGGGTTCTACACGCATACAGGTTTTATTCCTTGCATCAGAGAGGGGACACATCACTGATACAGACTGTAGGAGTGTAACAGAGATGTGCAAAGTGAGCAAAAGAACATTTTCTCGAGCTACAAAGAAGACAGAGGGCTCCTCCAGATGCAGACAGAACAGAAAAGTGGGAAACAGTGGTTTTACATCAGTGGCACAGCCATACCCACTGAAAAACAAAACCCAGCTGAGGCAGATAGAGACACCAAATCTCATCTTCTCCTCTGCCTCTAGCAGCGTGTTCCACCTAGAGGCAACATTCACTTTTTGGGGCAAGTTTTGCATTCCTTTGTGGCAACTGTTACCGTGGGCAGCTTGTCTTTATTGCTGAAGAGCTAAAATCTCAACAGCTCTCAGGAGCCATGTTTCCAAGCGCACACTCTGGCTTTTGGCAGCAACCCAAGCCAAATCTCTAGCAGGACCCATGAGGCAGCAGAACACACAGCCCTGCTGGGCAACCCCACAAAGTCCCAGCTCCCAGCACACTTCTCCCCACCTACTTTTTCATCACTAAGAAGAGCGTGTGGCTGCGACCGATCCCTCTGGGATTCAGGCTCACTGGAAGAACATCAGGATAGTCTGTGAGGGCTCCAGGCAGCAACGGGACAGAGGATGTGAAAGCTCGGATCACCTGGATTATATTTGGATGAGGTCTCAACCTCTTCCTCCCAAGGACAGGTTCTCTGTGCAAAATACAGACATCACAAGTTACACCAATCCCTATCATCTCCAGGAGTATTTTTCATTACTGTGCCACATCCCCTCCACCAAAGGCTTCCAAACACGTTTGTTCTGCTGTCACCTTGTGACTGGATTTTCTGCAGCCTGATGGATGAGCAGAAATGCTGCTGCTTTACCTGCACAGCAAAGGAAGATTTGGTGGAAACGTTCATGTTTGACGCGCAGCCTTTCATTTTCCATAACCCTACCCTGTTAGACTGAAAATAAAGGCCAGATTCACACTAAGCAGATCACCTTAGACCTCTTATTTACTGGCATAGACAGGAAGCATTCATGTTACTGAATATGCATCTGCAAAACAGAGCTCTCCTCTCTGAATGTCAGATAGCCCTTTGGCTTCTCTGTTGCATTCCCAGGCTAAGGACACACTGAGAAATATTCATTATCCACCTGCATTAGCACAGACATATTTGAAATGTAAATCAGGCAGTCTGAACTGTGGATTCCACTGTTTCCAGTTGAAAAAAAGACAAGTTTTTGAACAAGAGCACAATTAAACTCAAGATCTTTGAAAAGCTTCCATGCAATCTGACATCTCAAGGCTGCCTGCCTACTCACAGCTCAGGTGAAGAAGAGTTAACAGTCACTTTCCATCTGCCTTCTCACCAATGTCTGTTCTGTGCATGCAGCAACCTGCACTGCAACAGCTTCCACCTCCCTTTCCTTGCACCTGTTTTAGAACCAGACCAGCATTAGGCCATGTTTCACAGGGCTGCCCTTTCAATTCAGCACCAAACTACTACAGAACGTCAGTGTTTAATTCTGTAATTAAAAAGCACAATTACACTTTTAGATCACTTCTCAGAAACAGCTCCTCCCAGCTTTTCCAACAGAGTTAACCTTTTCACTGTCAGAAGCAATGCAATTTATGCACTTTACACACGGGGAAACCGAGGCACGGTGCCCCATCAGACCCAAAGCAGGTGGGTCCCTGATCATCCCATGTCCTTTCAAGTCTTCAAGACTAAGACACTGCAGGGAAGCATACAGCCAAGCTGCGGGGACCTCCTGCATGCTAACAGCTCCTCAAAGCAAACACTGTTGAATTATTATTTGAACAGCACCACTGCTATGCTCACTAGAGAGAAAAGTCACTAGGATAGGCAGAAGCGTGCTCCTACATAGCATCTCAGGCATACAGCACTACCAAAGGCAGTGCCATTTAGCTAAGGCATTCACACACACGGAATAATCCCAAGGATTCGTGCTCATTTCTTCCCAACAACCATCTCAGAAACCTCCAGCTGCATTCTCTACAGCACGGACGTGCTGCAAAATGAAAACTGATGGATCAAGTTGGATAGAATGAGCACAGCACACTTAGAGAACAGCTGCCACTGCCATGGTTACCAAACCTGTGGTGGAAGACAGCTCCATACTCCCCAGCTAAGGCAGTCCGTGTGGCTGGAACGAGCTCTCGGTGCATGTTGCGCAGAATGGCTTCACTTGAAGAGTCAGCCTGCAACAGCAACGTGCTGTCAGCTCGACAGAATCACAGAATGGCCAGGGTTGGAAGGGACCTCAAGGATTATCAATCTCCAACCCCCCTGCCACATGCAGGGCCACCAACCTCCGCATTTAATAATGACTGCTAATCACTGGCTGTGTGATTAGTCACTAATAATTGGCACTGAACGTCATCTCCTTATAGAATAGGTTAGGCTGGAGAAGACCTTAAAGATCACCCAGTTCCAAGACATTGTGCAGGCTGGGTGCCCCCCCTACCACATCAGGCTGCCCAGGACCCCATCCAACTTGACCCTGGGCACCTCCAGGGATGGAACACACAAAAGATTAAGAGCTGACTCCTTACCGAGATGTTCCACATCATTTTGATAGCCAGGGGGAAAGCAGCTTGCTGCTGGTGTTTGTCAGACGGCTCCTCTTCAGACACAGACAGATCTGAGCTCTCCATGCTCCCCCGGTGATGGAGGGATGAAGGAATCGCTGCTTCATAGACAGCTGCATTGCAGCCCTTCCCGAGGGGCTGCCCGATCAGATAGTCCTCCAGCTTGAAGCCCTGCCAGCGCAAAGAGCTCAGAGGATCTTTTTGTGGCTTGTTCTTCTCGATAAACACGGTCTGAAAGGAATAACAAAAGAAAAGCATAAAGAGAAAGCACTCAGTTATTCAAGATTGCACAATGAAGGCAAACCCGAGTAATTGGAAAGAGCAAAATGCCTTTTTTTTTTTTTAACCAGCCCACAGCAGGGGTTGGCACCAGATGGGTTCTGAGGTCCCTTCCATCCCAGCCATTTAGTGATTCCACACACGGGGACAGGCATGGTCCAGCCAGGGGCTGACATTCAGGCTGTAACCATAGGGACAACAGAACAGAACAGGCAGGAAAATGCCGCTAAGATCATCACCAAGCCCCTCTCCCCCCCCTCAAGGCCCCACACCTGGATGCGGCCACACGCAGCCCTTGCCCGGCGCTGCTCCTCCAGCGGCGGCTCCAGCAGCGCCAGCCCCAGAGCCAGAGCCATGCACGGCCCGGCCCGGGCCCGCCGCACCGCCATGGCCGCCAGGCCGGCCGGGCGCCGGAGGGACAAGAAGCGGACAAAAGGCAGCCGGGAGAAGAGGGAGACTGGAGAGGCGGCTGAGGGGATGGGAGGAGGAACGGGGATGGGAACGGGGCGGCGCGGCGCGGCGCCGGGCAGCAGGCGGAGGGCGCGCGCAAACAGCACCCGCAGCAACATGGCGGCCACAAAGCGCCTCACGGAACGGCGAGAACCAGGCGCCGGCGGGGGGGGCGGGGCGGTGGGAAAGGGCCGTAGTGCTTAATACGCATGCGCAGTGAGTCAGGTGGTGCGCAGCGCATGCGCAGTGCGGAGGGAGGCGGTGCCCAGAGCGCAGGCGCAATGTGAGGGATTTAATGCGCATACTGCGCATGCTCAGTGTGGAGGGAGCCTGTGCACAGGACGCATGCGCAGTTCGAAGGGCGGCGATGCAGTGCGCAGAGAGGCGATGCACAGGGCGCATGCGCAATGTGGACGGAGGTGATACTGCGCAGGGAGGCGATGCACAGAGCGCATGCGCAGTGCGGAGGGTCAGGTTGTTTTGCTGTGTTGGTGCATGGGATGCTGCTGCAGAGTGCATGGTGGATTGGTGCTCAGAGCACAGTGTAATGGTGCACGGAGCCCTGTGCACAGTGCATGGGGCTTTAGTGCACAGAGCACGGTGCATTAGTGCAGAGAGCGTTGGTGCACAGAGCACTGAGCAGAGCACAGTGCTTTGGTGCACTACATGCATTGCACAGTGCATGGTGTTGCTAGGTAAAGAGCACTGTGCATGGTGCACTGGCTCACAGCTGCTGTGCATGGCGCAGCATCAATGCAAAGAGCATGTGCACAGCGTGTGGTGCTTTGGTGCACTGAGTGCAGCACACAGTGCATTTGGCCCGCTGCACAGTGCATGGGTGCACAGAGATGGATGCATTGGTGCACAGTGCATTGGTGCACAGGGCACAGTGTATGGAGTATGGCTGCACAGCACACGGTGCACTGAGCACAGCATGTGGTGCACAGGGCATGGTGCACACAGCACAGAGCACACTGCAGGACACAGGGCATGGTACACAGGGCATTGGTGCACAGAGCACAGCCTGGCTCATTAAAGTAACATTATTATTTTTTTTTTTCTATTGCGCATAATTTAATTGCCAGGACAATCAGTGAACACCCCCAGAATTCCTCTTTGTCCTCACAGGAGCAAAAAAGGAGAAAAATAGGCAAAAAGTAGCAGTGACACCACAGTGACAGCCCACTGAACACCGAGCTGCCTGTGCACAAATGGCTGATGGATAATGTTGCGGACTTTGAGCTGAAATTGCTTTTTGTCCCCAGTTTTGCAGCCTTGGATCCAAGCAACATCCACTCAGCAAACCCTTTCACTTGGCATTGTTCCCGTGGAGCCACGTGCATAAAGGGAAAGTAGGAGGAATAATCCATCACCCCCAGCGCTGAAAGGGAAATGCAGGTGTGCAGTTCATGCCTTCTGCAGGTCCTCAGGGCCAAAGGAGAGCGGAAGGAGCTCCTGTAGCGTCTTCACAATGTAGGTGCCATCAGGTTTGGTCAGGTAGACGTCCCAGTCTGTGCCAAACTGCAGGAGGAGAGGGGGAGAGAGGCTCAATGGGGAATCCATGCTTCTTCCCCAGCTGGCTGCAGCACCCACAGCCACACCAGCAACTGCTGGGCTCCCTTGGTTTGTTCAGCTCCTAGCAGAGGAGGTGGAGGGGAGGCCCCGTGGTGGCCTGCAGCTCCTTGTGGCCCTACAGCTCCTCACGGCAGCTTGCAGTCACAGCATGGCAGGGCCCCCACTCACCTCTCTCATCACCTGTCTGCAGGCTCCGCAAGGCGTGATGAAGTCCTCCATGTCGCTGCCAAAAAGAGAACCACGCCAGGCTCAGTCCCACTCCACCCCAAAACCCAAAGGGAGTAAACACATAGAAACCCAAAGAGATTTCCCCAAACCCAAAGGGATCGTCCCAAAATCAAAGGCGGAACCAATCTGGAAAAGAAAGGGATCACCCAAAATCCAATCACCCAATCACCCAAAACATAAACAGGGCACCTCTCCAAAGCCCAAAGGAATTGCCAAAAACCTAAAGGGAGTAACATACCAAAACCCAAAAGGATTCCCCAAAACCTAAGGATATCACCCAAAACCCAAAAAGGGCACCGTTCCAAAACCCCAAAGGAGTAACATCACAAAACCCAAAGAGATTCCCCCAAACCCAAAGAGATCACCCCAAAACCCTAAGGGAGAACCACCCCAAAAACCAAAGGACGCCCAAAACCTAAACAGGACACTTCTCCAAAGCCCAAAGGAATTGCCAAAAACCTAAAGGGAGCAACACACCAAAATCCAAAGGGATTTCCCAAAACCTAGGGGTATCACCCAAAACCCAAAGGGGGCACCACCACAAAACCCAAAGGGACTGCCCCAAAATCAAATGGGGAATCACCCCAGAATTAAAGGGGTAACCATCCGAAAAAAAACAAAAGGATCACCCAAAACCCGAAGGGGCACCACCACAAAGCCCAAAGGAATTCCCAAAAATCCAAAGGGAGCAACACTCCAAAACCCAAAGGGGTTCCCCAAAAACCCAATGGGTCTGCTCAAAACTCAAAGGACACCCCATAAAACAAACCCATCAGCCAAAACCCAAAAGAGGCACCACCCCAAAAGGAAACACTACACCAAAACCCCAAAGGAACTTCCCAAAACCCAAAGGAGGCATCACCCTAAACCCCAAAGAGTGACACGGTGCCATTGGGCCTCACCTGGCAATGGCCATGGCCCTGAATCTTGTGTGCCCCTCGGAGATGGCTTTCTGGATGGCCGTGCGCTCAGCGCACACCCCGAGGCTGTAGCAGGCATTCTCCACGTTGCACCCTATGGGGAAGCACCGACACCACTCACCATCCCTCACTTGGTGAGACACCTTCAAAAGTAGCCCATCCTGAGCTCTGGCCAATGCACGTCTCCTTTCCGTGATTTATTTCCCATATTTTCCATCTCTTGGGCTCTTCTGGTGACTACGACTGGTAGGGAGCATAGGGAAGGGTTGTGGCACCCACCTGGAAGACCTCAAAACCTAAAGGGAACACCACTCCAAAAAGGAAAGAGATCACCCCAAAATCAGAGGGGGGAAACACTTCAAAACTCAAAGAGATTTCTCCATAATCAAAGGTGGAACCACCCCAAAAGCAAAAAGGAACTACTCCAAAAAGGAAATGGATTGCCCAAAGAGCAAAGAGGGAAGCATGCCAAGAAGCAAAGGGTTTGCCCAAAAGTCAAAGGGACGCCGCCCCAAAAAGCAAAGGGAACACCCAAACAGAAAAGGGATCACCCAAAAAGAAAAGGGGGAACTACCTCAAAACCTAAAGGGTGAAACACTCCCAAAACCAAAGGAATCACCCAAAACCCAAAGGGAGCACCACCACAACACCCAAACAGATCAGCCCGAAATCAAAGGGGGGACCACCCCAAAAAGCAAAGAGAGAACCACCTCAAAACCTAAAGGTGCAACACTCCAAAAACTAAAAAGGATTGCCCAAAACCCAAAGGGAGAACCACCCAAAAACCCAAATGCACTGCCCCAAAATCATAGGGGGAACCACCAAAACCCAAAGGGAGAACCACCCAAAAACCCAAAGGGTTTGCCCCAAAATTATAGGGGGAACCACCTCAAAAACCAACCGGATTTCTCAAAACCCACAGGAGGAGCCACCCCAAAACCCAAAGGAGGCACTGCACCCAAAAAAAAAACAACAAAACAACACCCACAAAGAGATTGCTAAAAACTCAAAGCAAATGCCACCCCAAAGCCCAAGGGAATCGCTCCAAACCCAAAGGGACCAGCACCCTAAAACCTCCAGAGATCGCACAAAGTCTCCGCCACCCCACAGAGATCAAGGCAAACCCAAAACGGTCAGCACCCCAGAAACCCATAGCATGCATCATCCCAGAACCCAAAGCAATCCCCCAGAACCCAAACGGGCCACCATCCCACAACCCCAAGGTCTCACCGGAGAAGATCTCCCCGCTGGCGGTGAGCAGCGCGGCGCCCACGGGGAAGCGGCTGTAGGGGCAGTAAGCACAATCTTTGGCCTCACGGCAGCGGCGCAGCAGCAGCTGTAGGCACTCACTGCCCTCCATGCCTGCACTGCCTGCCCCACACGGTGACGCCGACGTGGTTAAATATTTCCCCAAACGCAACGCCCCGTCGGGATAACGCCCCATGCGTGCGCCGGGCATCATCCCCAACCTCGAGGTTTTGGGATCAGGGTGGAGGTTGAGCTCTCTCTGAGCCTGCTTTCTTATTTTATATATATATATATATCTTATTTTTTCTAGCCATACGTGCTTTTCTTTTCTTTTTGTGTGTGTGTGTGTGCTAAGCTTTCTCACACCGCCTTCTTTTCCTTCCTCCCCAGCAGGAATTTGGTGCTGGGAACGTCCTGGGGGGAGCCACGGAGAGGTCAAAGGGGAGAAAACCATTGGGTCGCAAACAAGAAATAGCACGTTTCCCCCCTCACCCCCCCCTAGTTTCTCATTGACAGCCAACACACAGCAGGGGAAGCGGATGGGAAGTCTCCCTGACGCTGCTTTCCCCTGCTGCTGCACAATCCTATTGCTGAGCGCAGATAAGGGCTGTTCTGCACCATCCTAGGGGGTGGTCACGTCTCCCCTGTGTGGCTGAGCACCATTTCCCATCCCTGATATCCCCACACGTGGGGATAATAGGACGATCGCCTTCCTAGTTCCTTGTTCACTCTGAAACCTAATGATGGCGATGGGAAAAAAGCCATTTTATAGCCAAAATCGCCTGCACCCCTGTGCTGTTCGCAGAACTCAAAGGAGGCACCACCCCAAAAGGCAAAGGGATCACATGGAAAGCAAAGGGAGGACCACCTGAAAACCTAAAGGGTGCAACACAACAAAAAATAAAGGGATCGCCTGAGCCACAAAGGGGGAACCACCCCAAAACCCAAAGGGGTCGCCCAAAACATTAAGGAGGCACCATCCCAAAAATCCAAGGAATCACCCAAAAACCAAAGGAAATGCCACACCAGAACCTATAGGGGACAAGCACTTCAAAACCCAAAGGAGTCACCCCCAAAATCAATGAGGGATCCACCCAAAAACCCAAAGGGATTGCCCCAAAATCAGAGGGAGCATCACCCTAAACTGCAAAGGAATCATCCGAAGCCCAAAGAGAGTAACACCCCAAAACCCAAAGAGACCAAGCAAAACCCAAAGGAGGCACCACCCCAAAACCCAAAGGAGGAACCACCCCAAAACCCAAAGGAGGAACCACCCCAAAAATAGATTGCACAAAAAGCAGAGGGAGAATCACCAAACACCCAAAGGAGTTGCCCAAAACCCAAATGGGGCACAGCCCCAAAACCTAAAGCAATAGCTCAAAACCCAAAGGGTCTAATACCCCAACAACAAAATGGAGCACTCTGAACCCAAAAGGATTGCCCCAAACTCACAGTGGATTCCACCCCAAAACCCCACAGCTTGAAACCTGGAGGGAGTAAAACCCCAAAAAACAAAGGGATCAAGCAAAACTCACAGGGGGCAACACCCCAAAACCCAAAGGAATTGCTCCAAGCCCAAAGGGAGTAACACCTCAACAGCCAAAGGGACTGTCCAAAAGCCAAAGGGATCAAGCAAAACCCAAAGGGAGCAATACCCCAAAAAACAAAGGAATCGCCCCAAAATCAAAGGGAAACCATATGAAAAAAGAAACAGAAGGATCCCCCCAAACCCAAAGGGGGCAGCACCCCAAAACCCAAAGGGATCTCCCCAAAATTAAATGGGGAAAAACCAAAGGGATCTCTCCAAACCCAAAGGGGGCTGCACCCCAAAACCCAAAGAGATCTCCCCAGATTCAAAGGAAGAACGACCCCCAAACCCAAAGCGATCTCCCCAAAATCAAAGGGAGAATCATCCCAAAACCCAAAGGGATCTCCCAAAATCAAAAGGAGAAAAACCAAAGGGATCTCTCCAAACCCAAAGGGGGCTGCACCCCAAAACCCAAAGCGATCTCCCCAAAATCAAAGGGAGAATCACCCCAAAACCCAAAGGGATCTCCCCAGATTCAAAGGAAGAACGACCCCCAAACCCAAAGGGATCTCCCCAAAATCATTATCAGCACGGAGCACGGCTGGGGCTGCTCTCCGGGCTCTGCACTCTGCAGGGGCTGCTCTTTCTCCCCGTAGCGGAGCAGCACATCTCCCGCCGGCAGCAGCAGCTCGGCAGCATCCCTCCGTGTGCGCCGATGCGTTCTCCCTCCTCTCCACGCTTTGGGCTGCGCGCGGCGGCTGCCTGCACGCCCGGGGAGGTGGAGCAGAGCTCCGTTCCGCAGCAGCAGCATCACTGCCTCCTCACCCAGAGCATCCCGCTGGGGACCGGCCCTTGGGAACGGGACACGGGGACAGACCCTCGGGTCCGGATCCGGATCCGGCAGCGAGGTGATGCTGCCCTGGCGCCGCAGCAAGTTCGTGCTGGTGGAAAACGAACGTAAGTGCAAAGGGAAAAGCTTGGGGCCAGGGTTGGGCTATGCCTCGTTGCTGGCCGGCTTCCTGCGCTCCTGCCCCGATTTGTTGCCCGAATGCCCCTTGGAGAGATTGGGTTCTGTGTTTGGAGGCCGGCGGCAGAAAGTGGAGCTGAACAAGGAGGATCCCACCTACACCGTGCGCTACCTGGGTAATGCAGTCACTCTGCACGCCAAAGGAGAGGGATGCACCGAGGAGGCGGTGGGGAAAATATGGGCCAAAAGCGACGCGGGCGCCGGTGGGGCCAAGATGAAGCTGACCTTAGGGCCGCACGGCATCCGCATGGCACCGGGTGAGAAGGGTGCCAGGAGGTCGGGCCACGCGTACCTGCTGCACCGCATCACCTATTGCACAGCCGACCGCCGGCACCCGAAGGTTTTTGCGTGGGTTTACCGGCACCAGGTGAAGAACAAAGCCGTGGTGCTGCGCTGTCACGCCGTCCTCGTCCCCAAAGCCGCCACGGCGCGCGCCATGGCCCTGCTCCTCTTCCAGACCTCCGCTTCAGCCTTTGATGAATTCAAGAGGCTCAAAAGGCAGAACGACGGCCGTCGCCTCCAGCAGCAGCTCCTGGGTGAAGCCATCGTCCCCTTGGTGCCCCTGCGCAGGCTGCTCAATGCCAAGTGTCCCTACCGCCCGCCGGCCGAGCGCGCCCGCTGCGCCCCACGGCTCAGCTCCATCCTGGAGGAGGACGAGGAGGAGACGGGGGGCACGTGGGGGGACGGGGGGCCCACCGTGGTCTCTTTGGCCAGTGAGATGCGGGGGTGCAGCTTGCGTGGCCCAAGGGCCCCCGTATGCTGAGCATCCCCATTGGCGTCCACTGCTTTGGCCACACCGGGTGCCCTCGGGACACAGCTGGACAATAGGGCTACGTCCCTAGCTCTGAAGGGGGGGACACCTGGATCCCCCCATCCCTCTCCTGGAAATAAACCCAATCTGTGTTTTCTGCCTGTGACAGCGCCTGTCTCTCACCAGCCTGGAAGACTCGCGATGGTTTGTTGCTTTTCTATTTTGTATTTACCCTTTTTTTTTTTTTTAACTCTAAAAAATTTCCACCCTGGGGGGGGATGGAGAGGAGGGCGGGGGGGGTTCTGCACCTTCCATGCCATTCCACGTCAAGTGATGCTCATATTACCATGGCAACGTGGGGGTTTAAATAGAGCAGGCCCACGCTTTGGGGGGGGGCTGCAGTGGGGACCCCAGGCCTGACAGCTAGGTCACAAAGGCAGCCCAGAGAACCTAAATCCCTGGAATTTTACCCAAAATGGTTTATTTTCACCCAGTTCCTGCTCCCCTGCCCTGACAGGAGCAGCAACGCGGGGGCATAGTGGAAGGAGCTGAATAAATGGGACGGTGGGAGAGGGAACAAGGGGCACCGCTGCCCCACAGCCTGAGGAAGGAGATGCATCACAGGGATGGGGTTTGGGTGAGCTCCCCCCACATACAACAGCCAGAGAGAGGACAAGCTGTGCTCCTGATTCCCTCTGAACTTTGGGAGCTGGCATCTGGCTGCCCCCACAAAGGGCTCTATGGGTCTGGGGTTTGAGATACTGCCCCCCAGAAACAGTATGGGGCCGAGATTTGGGCTAACACCCCTAAAAATAAACCTTCGAAGCTTAGATAGAGCCTGCATCCTGCAGAATCCTAGGGTGAAAGACTGGGATTTGGGCTAAACATACCCTGAAAGCCATGTAAGGCTGAGATACAGGCTAATCCCTCCCAAAAAGTGCCATAGGGCTGGAATTTAGCTCGTCCACTTCAAAAATCCTGGGGGTGAGAATATGGCATTTAGGCTAAACCCACCCCAAAGGCCCCGTGGGCTGGGATATGGGGTATCCTGCCCTAAAATGCCGTGGTGAAAGGGTGGGATTTGAGTTAAACCCACCCCAAATATCCAGTGGGGCTGGGATTTGGGTTAATCTCACCCCAAAAAAGCCCTGTGAGACTCAGACTCGAACTATTTCCCCCAAATAAAGTGAAGTGGGGCTGGGATTTGGACTAACGCCTCCACAAAGCATCATAGGGCCAGGATTTAGCCTCTCACCTTCCAAAATCTTGCTGGTTGAACGCCGGGATTTGGATTAAACCCACCCCAGAGACCCTGTAGGGTTCGGGCAAGCCTTCCCAAGGCTCTGCGGGGCTGCAGTGGGGCTCCATCAGCCCTCCACCCCGTCTGGAAACCCTCCATCCATTTCTCGGAGGACCGCGCACTCTATGGTAAAGGCGCGCTCTATGGTAGAGCGCCGCGCGCTGTACGCCATGAGTGACGTCATCAGTCCGCGCCGCGCGGTTGCCGCGGTAACGGCGGCAATGGAAGGCGGCGGGCGGCCCTCGGCCTTGCAGGCCGCGTTGCTGGCGGCCGGCACGGGGCTGACCGCGCTGTTCTACTCGGTGTACCGGCAGCAGGCCCGTCTCGCCCGCGGCCTGCAGGTGGGTACGGGAGCTCCGGAGCCGGGTTGCGGCCTGCAGCCTGCTGCGGTGGCCGCTTCAGGCCTAGGCCGCGGCCTGCTCCCGGGTCTGGGCCTTGCGGTTGATCCTTCCGTCCCATAGGGCGCCCGGAGGCTGCGGCTGGACGGGGAGCTGCGGGCCGTGCTGCTGGAGGCGCCAGGCCGCTGCGTGCCCTATGCTGTCATCGAAGGTATTGGCATGGCAAAACGCTGGGCCTCTTTCCCCACTGCCTCTTTGGTTCAAGCGATTTTGCCCAAAATCTGATGTTTTGCGCCAAAAAAAAAGCTTCCCGCATGCAAGTCGTGGCAGTAACAGTAAGGGGGGGCACGGAGGAAGGAGCTGAGGAACTGGGGCTGTGCTGCGTTGGGGCATCACTACCCTGCAGCAGTGGGGAGGGGGATCTGGGCTCCTCCTTCACAGCCCCACAGAGATGGGGTTGGGGTGAAATGCCTCCAAAGACGGCACCCAGGGAGGGGACAGATGTGGTCTGATTCCTTCTAAATTTCAGAGGGGCCAATGCCAGCTCTAACAGAGGGCTCTGTGACTCTGACTTAGGCTAGGGCTAATTCCTTCCATATGCACTGCTGGGGTTTGGGCTAGCACCCCTAAAAACAAATCTATGGAGCTTAGATATAGCCTGCTTCCTGCAAAACCATGGGGTGAAAGACTGGGATTTGGGTTAAACGTACCCCAAAGGCCCTGCGTGGCTGGGGTTGGGGCTAATCCCTCCCTCAAGATGCCAAGGGGCTGGGATTTAGCCTGTTCCCTTCCAAAATTCTTGGGGATGGGATTATGGAATTTAGGCTAAACCCACCCCGAAGGCCCTGTAGGGTTGGGATTTGGGTTACTCTGGCCCCTCAAAAGCCCAACAAAACTGTGATTTGAGCTACTTCCCCACCAAAAAAAGCCCCGTGAGGGTGGTATTTGGGCTATTTCTCCCCCTAAAAAAGTACAGTAGGGCTGAGATTTGAGATAAGGCCTCCACCAACTCCACAAGACACATTTGGGCTAGGATCTAGCCTGTCTCCTTCCAAAACCTTGGGAGTGAAAGACTGGAATTTGAGCTAAACATATCCCAGTGCCCTGTGGGGCCGAGTTTTGGGTCTGTAACCCCATAAAAAAGAGAGACCTGCAGCACAGCTCAAGCACTCCACGTGTTCCAGGCGTGGTACGCACTGTCAAGGACACCCTGAGCAGCCAGTTTGTGGAGAACTGCAAGGGCGTCGTGCAGAGGCTGACCCTGCAGGAGCACAAGATGGTGTGGAACCGAACGACTCACCTCTGGTACGTACCTACAGAACCATGGGACATCCTAAGATGGAAGGGACCCATAAGAATCCCCAAATCCAGCCCTTGGCTCCACACAGGAGCGCCCCAAATCTGAACCCTACATCTGAGAGCAGCGTTCCAGCACTCCTTGAGCTCTGGCAGCTCAGGGCTTTGCCCACTGCCCCACACATATGGAACCTGGAGGCCGCCCCGAGCAGCTGACTCAAGCATCCTTGCACTGCAGCCCAACAAAGCTCTTCCAAAAGGAAACTCTTCTCACCACACTGCAACTCATCACAGCTGTGAAGGTGATGAGCACTGGCTGGGTTTGGCTGCCCCGAGAGCTTTCCCTGTGACAGCAGAAGGTTTTGCATGGGGGACACCACGAGGACAACAGGCAGCGTGACAAAATACTGCTGTGCTGACAGCTGTGGTGTTTCCCTGCTGCTTGGCTTTTTGTAGTATCACAGGATGGCTTAAACTAGAGGGAACCTTAAAGATTATCAAGCTCCTGGGTAGATCAGGCCCCACCCAACCCAGCCTGGATTGCCAGCGTGGAAACACTAACGCTTGTTTTATCCCAAGGAACGACTACGAGAAGATCATCCACCAGAGAACCAACACCACTGCCTTCGACCTGGCCCCGCTGGACGACGGCACCGGCGTCTCTGTGAGGGTGATGAAACCTCTGGAGGCCGCCGAGCTCAGCCTGGAGACGGTGCATGAGAAATTCCACCCCTCGGTGCAATCCTTCCCTGATGTCATTGGGCACTACATCAGCGGGGAGCGCCCGAAAGGCATTCAGGAAACAGAGCAGATGCTGAAGGTGGGAGCGGCGCTGACTGGCGTTGGGGAGCTGGTGCTGGACAACAACACCATCAAGCTGCAGCCACCCAAGCAGGGTTTGCGCTACTACCTGACCAGCGCCGATTTCGACGCTTTGCTGAAGAAACAGGAATCGAGTGCCAAGCTTTGGAAGATCCTGACCATCCTTTTTGGTTTCAGCACGTGTGCCGTTCTCTTCTACCTCCTGAGGAAGCAGTACAGGCACCACCGGGAGAGGCGGCACCTCAAGCAGATGCAGGAGGAATTCAGGCAAGCGCAGGAGCGGCTGATGCGTGAAGTGAACGCCGAGGGGGGAGAGACGCTGAAAAATGCCTGTGTCATCTGCCTGAGCAGTGCCAAATCCTGCGTCTTCCTGGAGTGTGGGCACGTCTGCTCCTGCACTGAGTGCTACCGAGCCCTTCCAGAGCCCAAAAGGTGCCCCATCTGCAGACAGGCCATCAGCAGGGTGGTTCCCCTGTACAACAGCTAAAGCGCTGTGGCTCGGGGCGGGGGGGGGTTCTTTGGAGGGCTCCCTCTCAGTGAGGGTTTGCTTGCAGCCTGCCCCTCTTGCCGCTGGGGTGGTTGGATTGCTGGGGATGAAAGGATTGCGGAAGGGGGAGGGAGCTGGAGGGGAGCTGGGCTTGAAAACGATTGCAGGTGCTCAGGGTTCACGTGGTGCTCCTGGAGGCAAAATCAGTTTGTTTCTGCAATACCCTGGTGATTAAAAAACTGTTATAAGACACGAGGAGTCCTGAGGCTGCGCAGTGCTGCCTCCCAGCAGCTCTCCAGCTGGCTGAGCAGGGGGTCAGAAGAGCTTCTGCTTCATGCCAGTGGTTTTGTGATAAATGGTGAATACAGGCAAGGAGCAGCGTTTCCATCGTCCCCTCCTGCCAGCACTGCCAGGGGCTGCACTTTGGCCACACGTGATTGTGTCACGCCAGAATGCGGGAATCGGGACACGGCAGCACTCTGGTTGATTTCTGCAGCGGGGTTTGGGCTGGGGTATGGCACAGCTTGTAATAAAACTGATTGAAAAGCGTGTTTGTCCTGGCTTGTTCCGTCCCTGCAACCCTGAGGGCGCTGCCTTCCTCTGCTCCCGCTACATTCCGCTGCAAGAAGCAGCATCCACCCCAGAAGCGCGAAGTGAGGCCGGGGGCTCTCCGCTTCCTCTTTGAGGAGACTGAGGTTGGAGCGGGACGCGGAGAAAACCCAAAGGCAGGGCCGCATCCAGCCGGGCTGCAGGTGGCGGTGCGCTCCCGCTGCGGGAGGAGGCGGAAAAGAAGCAGAAATAGCAAAAAATCCGCAGGGACGGCGGCGCGTCTCCTTCCCTTCTCCCGCTGCCATCAATCCATCACCCCGCGGCGCGCTCGGCAGCACCGGCTGAGCCCAGGCTCTCCCCCGGCGCCAC